GGGGGCATGTTTCGGAGGACTGTGGGAGGCTCTTGGCGGCCTCTTGGGCCTTGTAGGGGGCCTCTAGTGCGCTCGTTGGAGCCTCTTATGGTCACTTCGGCGCGTCTTTGGGCGGAGGAAGCGATCTGTGACGCTCGGGGGGGCAGGATCTTCGTTCAGGGGTGTCGAAAACATGGCCCGCCAGGGGGCGCACTTGTGCACATGCGCTGTTGTGCCCCTCTGGCACGCGCTGATGTCCGCCATAGAGAAGAGACGACGTTGGGCTCCAGCTTCGCCTCCCGCAGCTCGCTCAGCAGCGCCAGCGCCCGTTGCCACTGCTCGCCCTTCTCGCACGCGCTGATCCCAGCGCTGTAGCTGATGCCGTTAGGCTCCAGCTTCGCCTCCCGCACCCCGCTCAGCAGCGCCAGGGCCCACTGCCACTGCCCGCCCTTCTCGCACGCGCTGGTCCCAGCGTTGTAGCTAACTAGGGCAGACCTGTGGACTCCGTCCACGACATCAGCTCGACGCGGCGAGGGGTCTCTGGGCAAGCGCGGGGGGGTGCGGCTGCAGGGCCGAAAGGCAATCATGATGGCGTCGGGCTCTCCTGTGTTCCTCAGCTGCTGCTGCTGCTGCTGCTGGGAGGTCCTGCTGCTTCCTCCCCCTCCTCCTCCTCCTCCTCCGCCTCCTCCTCCTCCTCTTCCACCTTCTTCTCCTCTTTCGCTGGATTCTCCATGCCCTCGGTCGGCAATCGTCGATCCTACGACGACTCTCCCCAACAGAGAAACATCGAAGGCCCTCGGAGCGTCCAACATTGTTCTTTTGTGCCTTCGATATGCCGGTCGCCTCTCGTCCGCTCCCCCCCTCCTGGAAGCAATTCTGAGGCCACTTAGGGCTTCGTGGGGGCCGTTTGGGGATCTCTTGGGGCGTTTTTGCCTGCGATATGCCTGTCGCCTCTCGTCCGCTCCCCCGCTCCTGGAGGGAATTCTGAAGCCACTGAAGGCTTCGTGGGGGCCGTTTCGGAGCCTCTTCGGCCTTCGTTTGGGCCTCCCGGGGGGGCTCTTAGGGCCCTCTCGGGCCGTCTTGGGTGCCTCTTGGGCCGTCTTGGGGCCGTCTGAGGCCCGCCTCGGCGCCTCTTGGGCTGTCGTGGGCCGTCTTGGGCCGCTCCTGGGGTCGTCTTGGGTGCCTCTTGGGCCGTCTTGGGCGCCTCCTGGGCCGTCCTGGGGCCGTCCTGGGGCGTCTTGGGACCGTCTGGGGGCCCTCCTGGCCCGTCTTGGGGCTCTCTTGGGGTCCTCTTCGGCCGTCTTGGAGCGGTCGGGGGGGCTTCTTGGGCCGTCTTGGAGCGTCGGGAAGCCGACGAGGCGAGGAGGCCGAAAACATCGAAAAACACAGTAGAAATCGACGATTTCTGTCGCTCGGGGCCCTCTTGGGAGGCCTCTTGGGAGGCCTCTTCGGGCGTCTTGGACGCCTCTTGGGCCGCCTGGGGCGAATCTCGGGCGTCTTGGGCCCATCTTTAAGCGTGCCGGGGCTCTCCGGGGCCGTCTTGGGGGCTTCTGGGGGCCCTCTCGACATGTCCTGGGGCCTGCCTGGGCGGCCCGGGGCGGCCCGGGGCCAGCCCGGGGCGGTTTCGGTGCATTGGGGCCTGCGCCCTTCTGGCACGCACTGGGCCCTGCAATGTAGTAGAGACTAGGGCAGACCTGTGGACTCCGTCCACGACATCAGCTCGACGTGGCGAGGGGTCTCTGGGCAAGCGCGGGGGGGTGCGGCTGCAGGGCCGAAAGGCAATCATGATGGCGTCGGGCTCCAGGACCTCCTGCTCTCCTGTGTTCCTCAGCTGCTGCTGCTGCTGCTCGGAGGTCCTGCTGCTTCCTCCCCCTCCTCCTCCTCCTCCGCCTCCTCCTCCTCCTCCTCCTCCTCCTCCTCTTCCACCTTCTTCTCCTCTTTCGCTGGATTCTCCATGCCCTCGGTCGGCAATCGTCGATCCTACGACGACTCTCCCCAACAGAGAAACATCGAAGGCCCTCGGAGCGTCCAACATTGTTCTTTTGTGCCTTCGATATGCCGGTCGCCTCTCGTCCGCTCCCCCCCTCCTGGAAGCAATTCTGAGGCCACTTAGGGCTTCGTGGGGGCCGTTTGGGGATCTCTTGGGGCGTTTTTGCCTGCGATATGCCTGTCGCCTCTCGTCCGCTCCCCCGCTCCTGGAGGGAATTCTGAAGCCACTGAAGGCTTCGTGGGGCCGTTTCGGAGCCTCTTCGGCCTTCTTTTGGGCCTCCCGGGGGGGCTCTTAGGGCCCTCTCGGGCCGTCTTGGGTGCCTCTTGGGCCGTCTTGGGGCCGTCTGAGGCCCGCCTCGGCGCCTCTTGGGCTGTCTTGGGCCGTCTTGGGCCGCTCCTGGGGCCGTCTTGGGTGCCTCTTGGGCCGTCTTGGGCGCCTCCTGGGCCGTCCTGGGGCCGTCCTGAAGCGTCTTGGGACCGTCTTGGGGCCCTCCTGGCCCGTCTTGGGGCTCTCTTGGGGGCCTCTTCGGCCGTCTTGGAGCGGTCTTGGGGACCTCTTGGGCCGTCTTGGAGCGTCGGGAGGCCGAAAAGGCGAGAAGGCCGAAACCATCGGAAAACACAATGGAAATCGACGTTTTTTGCTGATCGGGGCCCTCTTGGGAGGCCTCTTGGGAGGCCTCTGGGGGCGTCTTGGAGGCCTGTGGAGCCGTCTTGGGCCAATCTCGGGCGTCTTGGGCCCATCTTGGGGCGTGCCAGGGCCCTCCGAGGCCGTCTTGGGGGATTTTTGGGGCCCTCTTGGCGTGTCTTGGGGGATTTTTGGGGCCCTCTTGACGTGTCTTGGGGCCTCCCTGGGCGGCCCGGGGCCAGCCCGGGGCGGTTTCGGTGCATTGGGGCCTGCGCCCTTCTGGCACGCACTGGGCCCTGCAATGTAGTAGAGACTAGGGCTGACCCGTGGACTACCGTCCACGAATTCCAAAGGATTGAGCGTGCGCTCGTTGCTGCTTATTGCTTCAGGGTGCGTTGTTTGCTTGATGATCCTGACGGCGTCTGGAGCAGCGCTGGCAGCAGCAGCAGCAGCAGCAGCAGCAGCAGCAGCAGCAGCAGCAGCAGCAGCAGCAGCAGATCCAGCACCATCGGCAGTAGCAGCAGCAACAGCTGCAGCAGCCGCTCCAGCAACAACAGAAGCAACGCGGACCTCCAGGGGCCTCCTGGGGGCCTTCTCGTCCTCGTCCTCCTCGTCCTCGTCCTCGTCCTCGGCCTCGGCGGCGTCGTCTTCGTCGTCGTCGTCGTCGTCGTCGTCGTCTTCGTGGTCGTCGTCGTCGTCGTCGTCGTCGTCGTCGTCGTCGTCGTCGTCGTCGTCGTCGTGTCGGCGTCGTCGTCGTCGGCCTCGGCGTCGTCGTCGTCGTCGTCGTCGTCGTCGTCGTCGTCGTGGTGTCGTCGTCGTCGTCGTCGTCGTCGCCGCCGTCGTCGTCGTCGTCGTCGTCGTCGTCGTCGTCGTCGTGGTCGTTGTCGTCGTTCTCGCAATCGGCGAAGTCGTCGTCGTCGTCCTCGGCTTCGGCGTCGTTGTGGTCGCAGTTGTCCTCCTTGTTGCGCCGTCGTCGTCGTCGCCGTCGTCGTCGTTGTCGTCGTCACGTCGTCGTCGTCGTCGTCGTCGCGTCGTCGTCGTCGTCGTCGTCGTCGTCGTCGTCGTCGTCGTCGTCGTCGTCGTCGTCGTCGTCGTCGTCGTGGGGGCCCGCATCGGTGGCGCGCGCCCCGGTCGGCGCGTCTCGCCGCGAGCTCGGCGGCAATGCTGCAAGAAGGTCGCGGCAATGACGGCAGGCGGGGGCGCAGCTGGGTCCGGAGGCGGCGGGGAACGCGGCAGTGATGGCAGGCGGCGAGGTTGGCGGCCAGAGGTGAGAAGGCCGAGAGAAGTGGGAAGGGCAGGACGGGGACAGCGAGGCAGAAGGGGGGGCAGGGATGGAGGGGCGGCGGGGTCCAGCCAGGCGGTGCAGCACGAGGCGGAGGGAGACCAACGGCAGCAGCAGCAGCAGCAGCAGCAGCAGCAGCAGCAGCAGCAGCAGCAGCAGCAGCAGCAGCAGCAGGGGCAGCAACAGCAGCCGCAGGAACAGGGGGGCGCGAGCAAGGGGCGGGGAGGAGGAAGGCGAGGGGGAACGCGCGTTTGGCATGGAGAAAACCGTACCCCACACCTCTTGGGACACGCTCCGTGCGGGAGGGGTCCACAGAAAGGGGGCCTGGGACGTCTGCGGGTGGTCCAAGCAGGGCTTTTTTGCATCCCCTCCCAGGCGATGCGTGTCCCAAGAGGTATGCGGTGTGGTTTTTTCCGATCAGGGGCGATGCTTCGGAGCAGGAAGGCACAAGGCACGCTGGCTGCGCAAGGGTGGATGGGCCGACGTGTCCTGGGCCTTCTGGGGGCCTCTGGGGGCCTCTTGGGGGCGTCTTGGAGCTTTGCTGGCCGTGGAGGGGCCCGGAGGGGGGGAAGCGCTCGGGGGGGGAAGCGCTCCGAACTGGACCCTCTTGGGCGTCCCTTGAAGCTGTCTGGGTGGGTTCTTGGGCCGTCTTGGGAGCCCCAGGAGCTCGATCGGGGGCCTCTGGGGCCGTCTTGGGGACTCTCTTGGAGGCCTCCCAGGCAGCATGGGCCCGATTTCGGACGCCCGCGGTGCCGTGGTGGGCGTCTTGGGGCGGGCGGGAGGAGCACCACTGGAAACGTCAAAAACCCCAGAGAAGATCGATAGTTTTGCGGCCTCGGGGCCCTCGTGGAGGTTGGGAGCTCTGCGGGATCTCGCGGGGGCCCTCCGAGCCCGTCCTGGGGCCCTCTCGGGCTCGCTGGGGAGCTTCCGGGAGACTCTCGAGGCCTCCGCGTCGGGACCCTCATGGCCCGTCCCGGGGCTGTCCCGGGCCGAGACGGCGTCACCCCACCACGGGCGGGGCCCCCGGGGCGCCGCCGCGGGTGACCATCGCTTGCCCTTCTCGCACGCGCCATGCCCAGTATTGTAGTATAGATGACGTCGGGCTCCAGCTTCGCCTCCCACATCTCGCTCAGCAGCGCTAGCGCCCGCTGCCACTGCTCGCCCTTCTCGCACGCGCTGATCCCAGCGTTGTAGCTGACTAGTGTGAACCCGTGGATGAAATCCACGGCGTGCTGAGCCTGGGACTCGCACACCGTTGGTAACCATCTCGTCGACATTGAACAGCTCTGGCGTCCCTTGGGCGGTAGGGGCGACATTCGGAGGCACATGTGACGGTCACGTTTGAGGGCAATGGTTGGGCGCTGTGCAGGGGCCACGTTTGGGGGCGCCTGGGGGCTACGCGTGGGGGTGACGTTCGGGGGCCACGCTTACTGGGGCGGTAGGGGCGACTTGCAGAGGCTTTGTGTGGGGGCCGCCTTTGGGGGTCCCGTTTGGGGGCCACGCGGGGCCGACGTTTACAGGCCACGTCTGGGGGCCACCCCGGAAAGCAGTCGGGGAGCCCCGGGGGCACTGACCTGGAAGCGTGAAAAGATATGGGTTTTTGCTAATCGCGCCGGGCCTAGGCGCGATTAGCAAAAACACAAGGGTTTTCAAGCACAGTCAGAGTGAGGGGGGCACTTTTGCGGGCCTCGATCGGTTGGGGGCCGCGAAGGGAGGTCTTGGGGCCATCTTGGGGGTCTCGGGCCGTCTCGGAGGTCGCTTTGGGCTCTCTTGGGCGGCACTTGGGGCCCAGTTGTCGCTGTCTTCTGCGTGACTTGAAACTTTCTTGGGCTGTCTTGGGGCCTTCTTCGGCGGTCTTTGGCCTTCTTAGGCCATGTGAAGGCCATCCTCGGGTTCAGTTGGGCGGTCTAGGGGTGATCTGAGAAGGTCCTGGGGCCGTGAAGGGCCGTTCGTGTCCCGAAATGGCGGGGAGAGCAAGAATCCTCCCAAACCTGCGGGAAACGGTAATTGGTGCTCTTTGGCGCTGTCCACGGGGCCCTCGAGGCACGTCTCTGAGGCATTTCGAGGCCGTCGTGGGGCTCTGGCCGGATCGGCTTCGGCTCTCTTGGGCGTCTTTGGGGCCGTCTTGGAACGATGTGGGGGTCCGGGAGCCGTCGGGGAGCGCCAGGGGCGTCCTGGGGCCGTCGGGGAGCGGCTCAGAGCTCTGGCAGGTCGAAGCCAGCAGAAGCGAGAGAACAGCGGTGAGGCCCCCGATGCAGCCAAGGGGTGCGGGTGCTGGGATACGTAGGGCCCCCGAACCGGCTGTAGTGGCCTGCGGGCAGTCTCGCCGCGGGCCTGGGTAATGGGTAAGAGATCTCGTGGATGTTGGTTGGGATCTCGTGGTTGGCCTCTGGGGAGCCTCTGGGAGACAGTTTGGGGGCTTCTTGGTAGCAGTTTGGGGGCGTCTTGGGGCCTCTTGGGCCCTCTTTTGGGGCCTCTTGGGAGCCTTTTGGGGCGCTTGGCGGCCTCTGGGGGGCCTCTTGGAGCCTATTTAGGGCGTCCTGGGGCCTCCTGGGGATGTCTTGGGAGCGTCCCGGCGTTTCTTTGGGGCGTCTTGGGGCTTCCTGGGCGCCTCTTGGGGTGGAGGCCTCGATTTTTCGGTTCCGGGTCCCTGTCTTGGGCCTCTCTTGGGGCCTTCTTGGGGCCCTCTTGGGTCGTCTTGGGCGACTCTTGGGCCGTCTTGGGGCCCTCTTGGGCCGTCTTCGGGCCGTCTTGAAGGCCTCTTGGGCCGTCTTGGAACTGTCTTGGGGGCCTCTTGGGCGGCCGTGGAGCGTCGGAAAGCCGAAAAAGCGAGAAGGCCAGAAACTTTGAAAAAAAAATGGAAATCAACGATTTTGGCTTCTGCGGCCCCTCTTGGAGGTGCACTTCGAGCGCTGTGAGGGCCTCGTGGAGGCGTCTCGGGCCGTCTTGAAGGCGTCTTGAAGCCATCGTAAGCGTCTCGGACACTCTTGGACCGTCTTGGGCCGTCTTCGGGACCTCCTGGGGCCGTCTTGGAGCGATCTGGGAATCCTGGATCAGTCCGCGAGCGGTCCGGGGGCCTCCTGGGCCCGTCGGGCAGCGGCCCGGAGGCTCTCCGGGCGGCCCGCGAGCTCTCTGGGCGGCCCAAGGCGTTGCCACTGCTTGACCTTCTCGCGCGCGCTTCGCCCGGAATTGTAGTACAGACTAGTGTGAACCCGTGGGAAATCCACGGCCCGCAGGTCCAGGCATTGGTCCCGAACGCGCACGTGTCGGAAGCGCGGGAAGCGTCAAAAGTAAGGTGTTTTTGCTACTCGCGCGAGGCCTGGGCGCGATTAGCAGAAACACATAGGTTTTCAGACGCAATTAGAGTAATGGGGGCCCCAACGATCTTACAGAGTCCCTGTGCGCGAGAAGTTCGATGTGGGGGGTGGACGCGTGGGGGCCAGAGTTGGGCGCTACGTTGGGGGGCCTCGTTTGAGGTCTCGTCAGGGGGTCATGGTTGGGGGCAACGTTCGCGGCCCTGCCGGGGGCCATATTTGGGGGCCGCGTGCGGGGTTCGGGGGCACATGTGACGGTCGCGTTTGAGGGTGTGGGGTTCGGGGGCAGATGTGACGGTCACGTTTGAGGGCAATGGTTGGGGGCTGTGCGTGTTGGGGCCACGTTTGGGGGCGCCTGGGGGCTACGCGTGGGGTTGACGTTCGGGGGCCACGCTTACTGGGGCGGTAGGGGCGACCTTCGGAGGCTTTGTATGGGGGCCACCTTTGGGGGTCCCGTTTGGAGGCCGCGCGTGGGGCCGATGTGTAAGGGGCCACGTCCAGGGGCGATCTCAGAAAGCAGTCGGGGAGCCCCGGGGGCACTGACCTGGAAGCGTGAAAAGGAATGGGTTTTTGCTAATCGCGCTGGGGCTGGGCGCGATCAGCCCAAACTCAAGAGTTTTCAGGCACTGTCAGAGTGAAGGGGCCACGTTAGCGGGCCCGCGCGGGGTGGTCCTGGGGCCATCTCGGGGGTCTCGGGCCGTCGAGATGGCCGTCTCGAGAGCTCTGGCAGGTCGAAGCCAGCAGAACCGAGAGAACAGCGGTGAGGCCCCCGATGCAGCCAAGGGGTGCGGGTGCTGGGATACGTAGGGCCCCCGAACCGGCTGTAGTGGCCTGCGGGCAGTCTCGCCGCGGGCCTGGGTAATGGGTAAGAGATCTCGTGGATGTTGGTTGGGATCTCGTGGTTGGCCTCTGGGGAGCCTCTGGGAGACAGTTTGGGGGCTTCTTGGTAGCAGTTTGGGGGCGTCTTGGGGCCTCTTGGGTCCTCTTTTGGAGCCTATGGGGAGCCTTTTGGGGCGCTTGGCGGCCTCTGGGGGGCCTCTTGGAGCCTATTTAGGGCGTCCGGGGGTCTCCTGGGGATGTCTTGGGAGCGTCCCGGCGTTTCTTTGGGGCGTCTTGGGGCTTCCTGGGGGCCACTTGGGGTGGAGGCCTCGATTTTTCGGTTCTGGGTCCTGGTCTTGGGCCTCTCTTGGGGCCTTCTTGGGGCCCTCTTGGGCCGTCTTGGGCGACTCTTGGGCCGTCTTGGGGCCCTCTTGGGCCGTCTTGGGGCCGTCTTGAAGGCCTCTTGGGCCGTCTTGGAACGGTCTTGGGGGCCTCTTGAACGGCCGTGGAGCGTCGGACAGCCGAAAAAGCGAGAAGGCCAGAAACATTCAAGAAAACGTAGAAAATCAACGATGTTGGCTTCTGCGGCCCCTCTTGGAGGTGCACTTCGAGCGCTCTGGGGGCCTCGTGGAGGCGTCTCGGGCCGTCTTGAAGGCGTCTTGAAGCCATCGTAAGCGTCTCGGATACACTCTTAGACCGTCTTGGGCCGTCTTCGGGACCTCCTGAGGCCGTCTTGGGGCGATCTGGGAATCCTGGATGAGCCCGCGAGCGGTCCGGGGGCCTCCCGGGCCCGTCGGGCAGCGGCCCGGAGGCTCTCCGGGCGGCCCGCGAGCTCTCTGGGCGGTCCGGGGCTGCAGCTGCTTGTGCTTCTCGCGCGCGCTTCGCCCGGAAGTGTAGTACAGATGACGTCGGGCTCCAGCTTCGCCTCCCACATCTCGCTCAGCAGCGCCCGCGCCCGCTGCCACTGCTCGCCCTTCTCGCACGCGCTGATCCCAGCGTTATAGCTGACTAGGGCTGACCCGCGGCGTTCCGGCCGCGAAATCTGCCCGTCATGACGTGGACGTGGAAGTGGAGCGCCCCTGGGACCTCGCGGGCAAGGAGTGGTTGGAGGGGACGGCGTAGATGGAGGAGGTGTCCGCTGGAGGTGGAGGTGGGCGAGGGATGCAAGCAAGCAGGCCTGGAGGCAGGAACGCGGTGGCACAGATGGTGTCAGTGTAAGCACACCCATGTATGCATGACATGGTGTGGACAGAAGCTGCTTCTCACGCCGCAGTCTGTGTTCATCATATCTTCTGCGGGGAGGTTAGCCGTGAGAAGTTTATCTGCTCTTCGCCAGGGCCGAATGACAATGGGCAGCAGCAGGATGAGGAGGAGGACGTGGAGGAGGAGGAGGGGGAGGAGGTGGGGGAGGAGGGGGAGGAGGAGGAGCAGGAGCTCAGGGAGGCCCTTGACATGGCACACTGGTGCCTCGCCCCGCTATCTTCGACACCTCTTGGAGCGCTCTGGGGCCGTCTTGGGGGAACCTTGGGACGTGTTGGTAAGCTCTGGGGGCCGTATTGCGGCCCTGCCGGGCCGTCTTGGGCGGCTCTTCGGCTACATGTCTTGACGCTCCGTCGGGCCGGTGTGAATCCCCTGTGGGAGCCTCCTGGGCCGTCTTGGGGCGGTGTTGGGGGCCTCTTGGGCCGTCGTCTACGCCATGAAACCCGGAAAGCCGGAGATGCTGACATGTGTACGGTTTCCGTCGGGAAAGCGATAGTTGTGGCCTCCTGGGGCCCTCCTGGGAAGCCTTTTCGGCGTCTCTTGGGCCGTCGTAGAGGCGTCTTGGGCCGTCTTGGCGCCGCAAACGGCAGTCTTGGCTTGTCTTGGAGCGCTCTTGTAGCGTCTTGGGGATACCTTGGGCCGTCCTGGGAACCTCTTGGTGTCGCCCTGGGGCCGTTTTGGGCGCCTTTTGGGCTCTCTTGTCGCCCTCTCGGGCCGGTTTTCGTGCGTCTTGGGGGCCTCTTGGGGCGTCTTGGGGCGGTCGTGGGGACCTGGAACCAGCGTCTGCGCCATATTCCGGACAAGCAGTGCATGCTAGAAGTGAGCGCGTTTCTTCGGGAAAACAATGATTTTCGCCTCTGGGGGCCATCCTTGGACGCCTCTTGGGCGTCTCTGGGGCCGTCGTGGAGGCCTCCTGGGCCGTCTTGGGTTTGTTTTCGGCGGTCTTGGGCTCTCTTGGAGCGCTCTTGGGCCGTCTTGGGTGTGTGTGGGGCTGTCCTGGGCGCCTCCTGGGAGCCTCTTGGGGCCGCCTGGGGGCCGTGTTGGGCGCCTCTTGGGTCTCTTGACGCTCTCGCGGGCCGGTTTTCGTGCCTCTGGGGGGCCTCTTGGGCGCCTCTTGGGTCTCTTGACGCTCTCGCGGGCCGGTTTGCGTGCCTCTGGGGGGCCTCTGGGGCCATCTTGGGGCTGTCGTGGGGACCTCTTGTCCCATCTTCTGCGCCATATACCCGACAAGCAGTGCATGCTAAAATTGGACGTTATTCGTTGGACAAACAATGATTTGGGCCTGTGGGGGCCGTCCTGGGGCGCCTCTTGGGCGTCTCTGGGGCCGTCGTGGAAGCCTCCTGGGCCTTGTGGGTGCCGTTTTTGGCGGTCTTGAGCTCTCTTGGAACGTTCTTGGGCCGTTTTGGGGGTGTCTGGGGCCATCCTGGGCGCCTCTTGGGCCGCGTGAGCGCCTCTGGGGCGTCCCCGGAGCCGTTGTGGGGTATTTTCGCTCGATCAAGACAGGGACCCTTCCCGCACGCACGGGTCCCTGCATTGTAGAGAAGACCAGGGTGTACCCGTGGACTGCGTCCACTTGCGAAGTGATGAGGCGCTGCCGTCAGGCGATCACGATGGATGGCGTCAGGTTCGCCTTCCACATGTCGACGAGCACCTTGAGCGCCGCCTGATTGGGGAGCATGGGAGATGAAGAGGCTCGATCGGGCCATGTGCAAACCGCATTGGGAACGGAGGCGCGATGGAGCAGCCGGGGGAGAAGAACATGGATGTCTTCCCATCCACCTCATTATCCTTCTGTTGCTCCTGTTCCTCCTCCTCCTCCTCCTCCTCCTCCGTTTCCGTCTCCTCCTCCTCCTCCTGTTCCTCCTCCTCCTGCTCCTCGTCCTCCTCCTCCTCCTCCTGACTTCCTCATCCTTCTCAGTGCCCTCCTGATCATCCTCGTCCCTCATCTTCCTCTTCTTTCTCCTCTCCTTCGGGTTCTCCCGCCTGTCCCTCTGCAGCGCTGGAACGCAGCGCGACAACACCCTTCGGCAAGGCGTCAAAAAAATGCGGTTGCGTCGAAGGCGTCGGCAGGGCCCAGTCTCGCGGGGTCTTCGTCGGCATCTATCGGGGCTCTCTTCGAAGTTCCTGAGATATTCTTGGGTTCCTTTGGGAAGCTCCTCGCGGCTTCAAGGCTGTCTCGGTAGGGGCCTCGAGGGCGCCAGGACGGAACCCCAAAAAGCTTCGTGGTGTTCGTTTTGAGGGGCGCTCAAAACGAACAGAGCGCGGCCTCTCGCGGGGTCTTCCTAGGCCTCTCTCGGGGCTCTCTTCGAAGTTCCTGAGATCTTTTTGGGTTCCTTTCGGGGGCTCCTCGCGGTTTCAAGGCCGTCTCGGGAGGGGCCTCGAGGGCGCCAGGACGGAACAAAACAGAGCTTCCAGGTGTTTGTTTTGAGGGGCGCTCAAAACGAACAATGCCCAGCCCGTGGTGGGGCCTTCCCAGGCCTCTCCCGGGCTCCCTTCGAAGCGTCTGAGATCTTCTTGGGCTCCTTTGGAAAGCCCCCCCCAGCTTCAAGGCCGTCTTGGTAGGGGCCTCGAGGGCGCCAGGACGGAACCAAAATGAGCTTCGAGGTGTTCGTTTTGAGGAGCGCTCAAGACGAACAGTGCGTGGCCTCTCGCGGGGTCTTCCTAGGCCTCTCCCGGAGCTCTCTTCGAAGCTCCCGAGATTTTCTTGGGCCCCTCTGGGTGGCTCCTCGCGGCTTCAAGGCCCTCTTGGTAGGGGCCTCCGGGGCGCCAGGACGGAACAAAACAGAGCTTCCAGGTGTTCGTTTTGAGGGGCGCTCAAAACGAACAGAGCGCGGCCTCTCGCGGGGCCTTCCTACCCCTCTGGGGGGGGGGGGCTCTCTTCGAGGCTCCTGAAATCTTTTTGGGTTCCTTTGGGAAGCTCCTCGCGGCAAGGCCGTCTCGGTAGGGGCCGCGAGGGCGCCAGGACGGAACCAAAATGAGCTTCGAGGTGTTCGTTTTGAGGAGCGCTCAAAACGAACAGTACCCAGCCCCTGGTGGGGTTTTCCCGGGCCTCTCTCGGGCTCTCTTCGAAGCGTCTGAGATCTTCTTCGGCTCGTTTGGGGGGTCGTCGCGGCTCCAAGGCCCTCTTGGCAGGGGCCTCGAGGGCGCCAGGACGGAAACAAACAGAGCTTCGAGGTGTTCGTTTTGAGGGGCGCTCAAAACGAACAGTGCCCAGACCCTGGTGGGGCCTTCCCTGGCCTCTCTCGGGATCTCTTCGAAGCGTCTGCGATCTTCTTGGGCTCCTGTGGGAAGGTCCTCGCGGCTTCAAGGCCGTCTCGGTAGGGGCCTCGAGGGCGCCAGGACGGGACCAAGAAGAGCTTCGTGGTGTTCGTTTTGAGGGGCGCTCAAGACGAACAGAGCGCGGCCTCTCGCGGGGTCTTCCTATGCCTCTCTCGGGGCTCTCTTCGCGAAGTTCCTGAGATCTTCTTGGGCTCCTTTGGCAAGCTCCTCGCGGTGTCAAGGCCGTCTCGGGAGGGGCCTCGAGGGCGCCGGGACGGAACAAAACAGAGCTTCCAGGTGTTCGTTTTGAGGGGCGCTCAAAACGAACAGTGCCCAGCCCCTGGTGGGGCCTTCCCAGGCGTCTCTCGGGGCTCTCTTCGAAGCGTCTGAGATCTTCTTGGGCTCCTTTGGGAAGGTCCTCGCGGCTTCAAGGCCGTCTCGGTAGGGGCCTCGAGGGCGCCAGGACGGAACCGAAAAGAGCTTCGTGGTGTTCGTTTTGAGGGGCGCTCAAAACGAACAGAACGCGGCCTCTCGCGGGGCCTTCCTAGGCCTCTGTCGGGGCTCTCTTCGAAGTTCCTGAGATCTTCTTGGGCTCCTTTGGGGGGCTCCTCGCGGCTTCAAGGCCGTCTCGGTAGGGGCCTCCGAGGGCGCCGGGACGGAACCAAAAAGAGCTTCGTGGTATTCGTGTTTAGGGGCGCTCAAAACGAACAGAGCGCGGCCTCTCGCGGGGTCTTTCTAGGCGTCTCTCGGGGCTCTCTTCAAAGTTCCTGAGATGTTGTTGGGATCCTTTGTGAAGCTCCTCGCGGTTTCAAGGCCGTCTGGGGAAGGGCCTCGAGGGCGCCAGGACGGAACCAGAAAGAGCTTCCAGGTGTTCGTTTTGAGGGGCGCTCAAAACGAACAGTACCCAGCCCCTGGTGGGGCCGCAAAGAACGCGAGGGTGCGGGAAAAGCACGCACCAGGAGCTCGCAGGGAACCTCGTCAGTAGGAACGGGGGAGGCTGCTGAGCTTCCAGGGACGTCGAAGGGGCCATTTTGGGCGCGCGGGGGAGGCCGCTGAGCTTGCAGGGCGCCTCCGGAAGCATCTCGGAGCGCCGGAAGAAATCCCAAGAGAGCCCGGAGGAGGCCGCGGAGGGCCGGAAGAGGGCCCCGAGGCGCCAGAAGGGCCGGACAGGGGGCCTGAGGCAACCGAAAAGAACGCGAGGGCGCGGGGAGAAGCACGCACTGGGAGCTGGCAGGGAACCTCGTCAGCAGGAACCTGAAAATGGCTCGTTTTCCAGAGGAAATGCATCTTTTTCCTTGGACCGTCTGGGGGTCCTCTTGGGAACCTCTTGGACCGTTTTGGATCGGTCTTGGATGCCTCTGGGGGGGTTCGGAGCGTCGGGACGCCGGAAAAGCGTGGAAGCAAAAAACCTCGGAAGAACCAATGAAAATCAACGATTTTGACCTCTCGGGGCTCTCG